TCATGCCCCATTGACTCGTCTGATTGAGAACAGGTCGTGGCCTATCCCCCGACTCGGACTTATCCAGTGCTATATCGTCTTCGCTTCTCGGCCCCGGGCTCTCGACCTCAAAGCTCTTGGTCGAATTTTCGCCCCAGGTGACAGACTTGGCAGAGGAGGAAACAGTGGAGGCTGCACCAGAAGCTCCGGTCTCACTCTTAGCACCGCCAAAATAGTCCTCAGTGGAGCCGTCATTTGATACGGACTTGTTCTTCTTATTCTTATTCTTTTTCTTCTTGCCCTTATCTTCATCAGCAGAAGTTGATTTCTCACCAACTTCGCTTGAGCCCCGTGATAGGTTGGGTGTAGGCTGACGACTGGGTACTGGGGTAGGATAGACGAGGTTTAGCATCGGCCGCTCGCGTTCACAAGAAGGGTCACGGGATGAAAACGAGTTGCTGTCCCGGTCCCCGGACTGGAATCTCTGAAGTTCCTTGGGGTAAATCTTGTTGTCGATTCTAACGTCGGCATCTGGACCATCATATGGGCTCTTGACAGAAACCTTGTTATCTTCCATGTCCGGTGGCGTGACAATGGTGTAGGGTTGTTTTTGGCCATCGTCATCGTACCTGCCAATGACAGACTTGTCAGAAGACACGCTGCGAGATTGTTGTTCCTCGGCAGCAATTCTTTCAGCAGTCATCTTCTGCCGGTAATATCTGTCCGCCTCCTCCTGGACAGGATCCTTGCTTGACTTTGAGTAGTCCCGAGACCCGTCGTCCATGTAACCATTTCGATGGTGGTCCGTTGACCGGTGCATTTCCACAGCTACAGCAGACGCTACGGCTGCTGCTGCAATGGGAGCAGTGGAGTGTTTGGCCTCCTCATAGATAGTCCTTGCATCATGCTCTCGTTCCTCATAATCATATCGTCGTGAATCCGTACCCTCGAGATAATCTCGAGCGCCCTTCTTGTACTCCTCCGTCATGCGCTCCATTTCAAATGAATCCTTGCGACTCAGCCTGGTGTCTGACTGCGCCAAGCGTGGCGGGTCGTCAAAGTTGGGCTCCCGATCCACCGTCACAATAGTAGGAGTCAAAGGTCGCGTCGGGGCCATGGCAGCAGAGACCAGGGATGTTCCTAGGGCGTCATCAGTAACCTGAAATTGGAAGGGGTCAACACGCTGGCGGGTGGTCGTGTCTGCGGGGGGAGAATTATAGTCGTAGGCGCCCGGTATTTGATCGCGAGTGCTCTTCTCATCCCGCCGCCGTTCATCACGGTCATCAAAATTGCGGCTGTCTCTTCGAGATGACCGCGATACCTCACTTTTAAACTCCCTGTCATGATCACCCTTTTCGCTGCGCTTGGATCTCCGGGACGACTCTGCGTCGGGATAGTGGTCTACCCTTGTCTCACGACGCTTTCGGGGAGTCGCGTCTTCTTCTTGGCGTGAGTGACGCTTGTGATCCCGTTCATCAGAGTATTTAGAAGAGTATGAGTCTCTCTTTGATCTGCGACTGACCTCTGACTCTGCATCCCTGTCACGGCGCTTGGATCGGTCCCCCCCATCTCCCTCCCAGGGCTCAGCGACGCGGTTGAACTCCTTGACTTCTTGGGTATCATTATCTTTGCGCTCCTTTCTTCGCTCGTCTCGACGTAAGTCTCTCTTGGACTTTCGGTCAGATGCAAGGGCAACTGCGGCTGCTGCTGCGGCAGCGATGCCTGTGAGTTTCGTGCCTGCGCCGACCCCAGTCTCGTCAGAACGTGTTCGTGAGTGCTTCTGGCTCTCTTCCTCCAGCTTCTCGGCTTGGTACACCTTGGATGAGACTGGTGCTTTGGGACTGGGTTGTTGAAGAGGAATTGGGGCAGGACGGGGTCGATAAGGAAGGTCTCGGCGAGATGACATGGTTGAGGCAGCGTCGGCATCGAAGTTATTCGGATCAGAGGTTGGCATGGGGTAAACATTCTTCATGGGTCCCTTATAGATAGGCTCAGTTTCAGCGCGGCGTAACTTATTGAACTGCTGGTGATCAGCCGCGGGTTGACCCTCGCCGAACCCGCAAGGCGTGTTAATCATCCCCCTGAGGGAGTTGTAGGGCCCGAATAGTCGGGGATCCACGACGGAGCTCTTTCTAACATTGGTAGCTGGAAGGCTCTCTGCAGGTCTTGTCGAGGTTCTAGATCGGCCAGCCGCGGAAGCCACGCCTGTACCCAGAGCGGCGCCGGTTGCAACTCCCATGGCGGATGTCATGCCAGATCTCGTAGGCCTAAGTACATGAGAGACGACCGAGCCATATGCCAAAGCTGATTCGGCGTCACTGAAGCCACCCTCATCGTCAGAAGCGTCTTCCCAGTCCGAATCGTCGCTAGAATCCGAGTAATCACCATGAGGTCTAGAGGTGGCATTACCACGAGTCTTTGCATCGCGTCTCTTCTTTCGAACCTCATTGACGGCGGCGGCTGCTGCCATGAGTCCGGTTGCTTTGACCTTGCCAGAGGCTCGCTGATCATGCTCGTTCTGCTTTTTCGCAAAGTCAGAAAGTTGACGGCCAAGCGCAAGAATTTCCTCGTCCGTCTTGTCCTTTTTGGAACCGCCTTGTCGGCTAGAACTACCTGCGGCAGCGGAGGTGGCAGCTGCGGCCGCAGCCCTATCATACTCGTTGGTGCTCCTCCCGTCTTTGTCTCTAGTTTGATGCGTCGAGTATCCGCCAGAGACCTTGCGCAGCTTGTTGAACTCGCGGCCCTTGGTCTTGGGAATGTACCCCGTTCCATAGGCCAAATCGGAGTTGACCGATGAAGACGACGAGTTGCCAAAATAGAGCACACGGCGCTGCTTGACTCGACCGCTCCGACGACGACGTACCCGACGCTCTGAGGGAGCGCTGAAGAAGGTGCCAAAGATACCTCCGAAGCGGCTCTGGGTTGGGTAATGACGCGAGATGTCTATTAGAGATGACGCGGCAGAGCTCGAGGTAAATGAGCCAGAACTATCAGAAGCTGCTCTTTGTCTGTTTGCGTACTGCTGTCCCCATACGGGCTCCTGATATCGGTCCCGATCCCGGCCTCCATTTCGATCTCTTACTTCGTCTCTACTTGCGTATCGGTTTCCATCTCTGGCTTCGTCTCTCCTTCCGTATCGGTTTCCATCTCTGATTTCGTCTCTACTTCCATATATGTTTCCATCTCTGTCTCTGTCTCCGTCGAAAGGTCCCGCACCACGCGCTCTCGTCGGCGCGGTCGCACTGTGTGTCGGGTATTGTGAAGGGTAGTTGGGGTACGCTGAAGACGAAGGCATGTTCGAATTCATAGGCTGGGGAGGGACAAAGGCCAGATTCTCGTGAGAGTCTCGCCTGTGATCCCGCCTCCGCCTCCGAGAGCTCTCGGGGCTCTGGCGGCGGGAATCTCGCATCATGGCTGCCGCTCTATCGGCTTGAGAGGGCGGTGATGCATCTGCCTTTTGCCTTTGCTCTGCGTAATGCGTGATGTGTAGTAAACGTCGAGGTATGTACTATGGTGTTGCAAACGAAGCAAAAGGCAGGCACTTAAAAGTGATAAAGGGGGAAAATTTGGCATGTAACCCCAGCAGCCGCCTGGTCGTACAGCAATGTTATGATTTTGGGCTGAAGCTCAGGCCTTGGTTGGCCATATACCCGGTCATGGCCCTGGTCTGTCTCCAGAAGCACAGAATGGCGGTGGCTGGGCCAACTTGAACTTGGGTTGAACCTTGGAGCTTGGGTTTGAAGCGCAGAAAATGGGGCCACCCGAGCCGGCGCGAACTGTCAATGGACAGAATAGTGGGGCCCGTTGATGACGGTTCAGCTGTCCTAGATGAGAGGCGGAAGGGAAAACGTCAAGCCTCTTGATGGTTGCCATCATGGCTACGCAGTAGGTGCAGAGCGCCCAGAGTGAGGTGTTGGATAATAACCATTGCGAGCTGTTGGAGAGACATGAGATGCTACCTACCGTCCATGTAATAGAGTCCTGTGGACCCTTTGACTGGAATGCTCCAGGCGGCCCCTCTGCTGCCACCTCTAATACTTCCCCATTCTTTCAACATTCATCTTGCACCCAGATCAGAGTCACTATTACCCCATTGACTCTGTTTGACGGCTCCTCATGTTCCTTCTCCATGTGGCTCTATGTACATGTTTACGGGCACTAGTATCAGAGTTTGACGCCTCCTCCACCCCGAACCACGACCCGAACCACGACCCGAACCACAGAGGGGGCCGCACCCGTTTCGCTGCCTCCCAAGACTCTGTTTCGAAAAGGTGATACAAACCGACCCACCCAATCGCATTTACTGTTTGGCTGCGTTTTTAACCACCCGAAAGTGCTCGCAGATGCCCAACGAGAATTTGGTGTTCTGCCGCACCGTTCAAGGTGTGTCGGCAGACCCCTCACCATTATGCATGCCAGCGTGGCGCATCACATGGTCCTGCACGTGTTGCGCCACTGGTCAATGCTGGTCTGGGATGATGTTCGCCCCAGCATTGCCTACCCTAGGGCAAAGTCGGGTCATTCCTTCAACCAGTGAGTGAATGTGTGTGGTCTGGGACTCTTGGGCGACCATAAGGTGACCGACAATCTCTATCCATGAACACGGTGTGCCTGGAAAGACTCGATGGATTAAGGAGTACCAGCCATAGATACAGAATATCGAATAAAATGTTGTCCTACTGTGGCGTGTAAGGAGTCTGGCATTCACTAATTGCATCAGTATATTCGCACCTCGGAAAGTAAAAATACAAATACCTCTCTTCAAAGTCCACACCTCCAACGGCAAAACATTGCTCATTAACTTAGCAGACGAAGATACTATGCCATTGCGACTCCAGGCCATGAAGCCCGCATGAACATTGGGAATATCCCACAGCCGGCATGAAAGATGGAGTCGGACCAAATGTTTCATATAATAATTCATCATGCTATTAATATATAATACGCTATCCATCACGGACAAGCACACCCAAACGCTTTTAGATCACAAACAAGGGGCTTACTCCTATTCCCAACACGCGTCAAAACCCGGGCACAACCCTCGCCCTGACGGGCAAACCCCCCTTTGGCCGTGCAGTAACCCCGTACCGTACGACCAACTTTTCCCTCTCCCTCATCTCGTCATTGACCAAGGCAAACTCAAACCTTCCCACCCACGCGGCCAAAAGACAGGCAAACTCAGACTTTGCAAAACTTGCTCCGATACAGCTCCTGGGCCCGTGCAAAAACGTCAAAAACGCATACACGCAGCTCGCGCCGCCGCTGCTCGCGCTCTTGGTGTCCACCGCATCCTTGGCCAGCCATCTCTCGGGCTTAAACTCCAACGCATCACCGCCCCAGAGATTCTGATCGACATTTGTGGCCCAGGGCGACAGCAAGATGACTGAACCCTTGGGGATGGGGTATCCCTGGACGGTAGTGTCCTCGACGGCCTCGCGGGAGGTTCGCGGCACAGGGGAGAAGAAGCGCAGGACCTCGTTGCACACGGCGTTCAAGTAGGGCATTTTGTCAATGTCAGCCGAGGTGATGTCCGCGTCTGCGTCAAGCCGGGGCAGCCGCTCGCGGACTTCGTCGCGCAGACGGGTCTGGACATCCGGGTAGCACGACAAGGCGTACGTTGCCCACGTCAATGCCGAGGCGGTGGTGTCGTGACCCGCGGCGAGGAAGGTCATGAGTTGGTCGACAAGGTTCTCGTCGCTGAAGAGGCCACTCTCCAACGCAACGGACAGGATGTCGACATCTGTGCGATCCTTGTTGGCCATCCTGCACTTCTTGTCCCGGATGAGTTCTCTGCAGACGTTGCGGATGGTTCGGTTGGCGTTGTTGATGACGTTGTTGCTCCTCAGTGGTATGCGGTTGACCAGCCACGCTGGCAGGAGAATCAGGAGGATCCCGAGCAGACTGGCCTGGCCCTGCGTGCCCGTGAGGGACTTGTACGTTGTTGCGAGGGGATTCGTCGGGTCCTGGATAGATCCAAAGTCGACGCCCATGCCAGCAAGTCCGATAATGTCCAAAGTGCAGCGGTTTGCCCAGTCCAGCGCATCCAACGTGGCAATGCCATCGCTATTGGCTGTGGCAGACATTGCCTGCACGACTTCACGGGCTTTTCGCCAAAACACGGGGTATAAGTCTTTTATGTGACGAAAGGCAAATGCCGGCATGAGGTTGCGCCTTTGCATTTTGTGCACATCGCCCTCCGTGAGGAGGATGCTATAGCCTAGAACGGGCGATAGCAGTCTTCTCACGATGTCGGGTCGTTTAAACTGGTAGCTCTTGGTGACGAGCACTTCTGCCAATCCTTTGTTGGATGAAACAATAACCCGCTCATCGTTGAACCACCAGAAATACCGAAGCAGTCCTTCATGCGGAATCGTATTGATCCTATCAACAGCGAAATCAGCGTCCGTCAATCTTGGCGACTCCAAGAAAAAAAAAAAAGTACACCGCAACCTAAAGGAAACAATCAATGGAGAATTGCTTTTTCCTTTTGTCATCATCACCGTCCATCACCATCTTCTCCTCCTGCCTCCTCTTCTATTTTCTCTTTTCTTTTTTTTTTTCTTAAGAAAAGGGAAAAAATCATAAACCAAAGAAATAGAACAACTGACTTACCATTCCCTTGTTGGTTCATCTCTCCCAGTTCCAAACCTCTGTCCATGCCCAAACAACCAGTGCCCTCCCTTGACTGTGGGTAAATGTCTCAGCGGCGACAGATAATGCGGATATATCAACACGGCCCATGCACAATACAATGCGGCACCGCCCAGCCAAAGGCCAACAAAAGCCCCGGCAAGGGCGAGGCTCGAGCGCAAGCCATGCGCAAACACCAATACCGCGCAGCCTAGCAGGGAGAAGCCCGTGATTTCGTAGCCCCGGAAGCGCATCACCGCGTGTGATGACGTGACAAATTACAGAGTCCGTTGGGTATTGATATACGAAGTAAGCGCCGTTGAAGGCACTGGTGCGGAGTACGCTTGATTGGCTTTATTCGCTGCCATGTGCAGAGTGATGCAAGCGCCGTGGGATCCTGTCGACCGGTGATCTCGACAGATTCTCAGCAGGCGGGCATGCAAGGCAGCCGGAATCTTGCAAGCTCACTGAAGGGTTAAGTGACTTGGTATGGCCGGGATCACAAGTTCCACCAAGGAAAGCTGCCAAAACGACAACCAAGAAACTTCGTTTGGCTCCTTTTGTCTATAACCAGCGACTGAGGGGATCATGTACTCCGTAAAGTGGTGCGGTACATGGCTATTTAATTTCTTCTTTTTGCACAAAACAAAAGTCCGTACGGAGCTCGCAAGCAAGGCCAACTGATGCGTGGCCAAAACCCATGCCGGCGGCCGTCTCCCTGGTCCCGTTCCACCTGGCAATTGAATCTAATAGGTACGGAGGACGGACTCGTTAGGCACTACTACTATTGATTGTTAGCCGACCCGAGTACTCCGTAGTTAGCCGCGTGGATTCCCCTCTTCTCCCCTCACAAACACATATAAGGAGGGAAAAAAAAAAAAAAACAGGAGCTGAGACAGCCACTCAAGGATGTCGGAGTCAAATTCTGGCCGACCAGTTCGGATCATTTGGAACATCATTTCATTGTGTAGAGCCTGGCATATTTCCTGCTGTGGCATGGAACGTGGGGTCGGGTTTGGCACAAAGTAAAATCCCGTGTCCGGGCTGACCGGGCTGGCGTTTTCCGTCTCCGAGGTGCACGAGCGCTCCGTGCCACTCAGTGCCACAAGCCACACTAATAGTTACTCAAGTATAGAACCTCCCAACATACAACTACAGTACGTACGTAGACTGTGATTCCCCCCATACTTTATCAAGTACGACGCCTGCATATGGTACTCAAGGACGCACTGGTGTCCTGGCTCCCACTCTACGGAGTAGATGTCACGACTCGGTATGTATCAATTACCAAGAGCTGATGATACCAGTTGACCCCTCATCCTTCAACCAAGGCCCCGCACTCTTTCACGCTAACAACAGAAACGTACCCCGATTCGAACCCCGATTCGAACCCCGATTCGAACCTCGATTCGAACATCGATTCGAAACCCCTCATTCGACATCGACTCCTTTTCTCCGCCCGGCTTGGCATCATCACACAAGGCAGCGGGATAGTCTCGTCGTCACGCCCTTCACCTTATACCTGTCAACAGGGCAGAATCAATGTTGGGTTCAGTCATAATATTATCCTTCGCTGCTAGCTTCACCCACTCCGCAATCATCCGCTGTCTCCGCTTCTGACTGTCTACTATGGAATTACACCTGCACAATCTATGACAAAGTGCCAACCGACTGACCCATACCCATGGTGATCGTAGTACCAAAATATCAAATGCCAAACGCCGTATCATGTTCCTGTGTTCCTGTGTTTGAGTTCGTGAGTCCGCGACAAGCTCCCTCTTTCCCCATAAAAAACCAAGATCCTGCCAAAGCAGCGACTCAACCCGGCTGGAATCAAAACACACCTGCGATGCGACGAGTTGGGTCATGATAAAAAAAAGAAACAAATAAGACGAAAAAAAAAGACGTGGGAGGGAAAGACAAGGAGAAGGAATGATGCTGAAAATGTTATATGTGCTAATCCCGCTGCTTTCTTTCATACCCTTTTTCACCTGCGTCCACCTACTGGCCTTGTCTTACAACGCACCTCATCTTGATGCCAGTGGGATGTAGAATGACATCTCATTCCTTGATAGCACCCCTTTGTTCACCACGGCCGATTTCTAGATGGTCGAAGCGGGGAAAGCTCTGCCTCGGCGGACAACGTGTTTGCCACAGGCGCAGTGCTAGACTGAGTTGCTATTGGTGTTGTTGATGCTGCTGCACCGCCGGGCAGGCCAATACCAGCACGCCGTTGATTTATTGGTCTTTGTAGCGGGTTAAGAATTGTTGGTGGTGGGATCGATGACCCATTTGCAATCACTGTCTCCGAGGGGTCAATTATCCGAGGTCTCGTAGGTCTTGAGGCAGGAGTCTCGGCAGCAGCTCCCCGCCTCACACTTGCGGCTGAAGTATGCTGATGTTCTGCCCAGCTAGTTCTAGGTGGCAGCTGACTATGGAATGACTCAGACGGTACAAAAGTACCTGGCGTCGAAATAGCAACCCAAGTGTTGTCACCGGAATTTGAGTGGCTACCTGATGGCTGTAATGACGGCTCAGAAGGCAGGTCGTCGGGTGACATGTAAGGCTGCGACATTCGCAAGTCCTCAATGTGACTTTCACCCGTCACTCCCGAACTATTGCGACGTTGTCGGGTTCGGCGATGGTCGTGCCCAGAGGCGTCGTCTGGAGGCGACCGTCTTTCTGCTGTACGTTGTGGGCGCATCAGCAGCTCCTGAAGCTCTGATTCTCCAACTGGCCTGCTTACGACTCTGGCAATCATCTCTTCAGAAATGCTAGGCCCAAAAAAGTTAGCAAGCAGACGGCTTCCCTTATCACTTTTGATGTGTACAGAACTAACCCAGCAGGAAGGGGCAATCCTCGAAGCCTCATCATCTGCATGAACGTTCTTGCAGATCCAAATGAGTGCTTCGGCTCGGATTGAAGCTTGCTCCGACAATACGGGCAACTATCTGAGTCCTCAAGCCATTTCTTAATACAGTGGTCTCCAAAGATGTGTTTGCATTGGGGCAGTCGGAGAGGGGCTTCGTTTACACCCTCGGGACTGGCCACCCCGTAATCGTTGTAACATATGACACATGCTAACAGCATCGACATCATTAGTCACGACCTCTTTTATATCCAGAACTCGCCATATGGCAACTTACTTCTTTCAGATTCTGGAAGTGCAGAAGCCTCGACGCTTTCCAGCGACTGTAAAGCGGCTTTGGATGCAACCAATTTACTTTGCACTGTACCACGATACATCTGCATTTGCCGCATCATGACGTCCTCCACTTGCGAAGCGGTTATCCCGTGACTCCCCCGACGACTCGATCTTGAAGCTGTGTTGTCGCCTACCGTCTGCGGAGTCTGAGCGTCATCTTGCGAACGTATATGGTCAGAGTTGGATTGTCTGGAGGCCATAGACCGTCGGGCTCGAGAATGCGCTTGTCTGCGACGGTCAGACGCCGGGATCAAGGTGTTGCTATTGTCGCGATAGCCGAGAACGGCGGTGGCTGTGCATTATTGGTTAGAGACCCGTAGAACAAGAATTGGCCTTTACTAGAATCCGTAGCTCAAACAGAAAAGGATATTGGAGGATAATGAGCCGACTGCAAACACTGGGGGAGGTTGCCTTACAAGTCTGTGATCGGTGCGATCTGTAGGAAGTCGGCGATGACGTCTGCCCTGGGCGACGGGGAGAAATTGGGGATAACGGGAAATGAGAAATTGTGGTCGACGGACCAACTGCATGACCAGAAGTATTTGGCAATCCTTCGGAGGACGAAATTTGGGGAAAAGACACGGAATGTGTCCCCGAGGTCGCACCGGGGGGTGCCCAGTCCATCGCAATGGGTGGCCGCAGTGCCAAATTTCTTGCATTTGCATTCATGTTCTCAAATGTGCTTGGGACAGAGCCCATATTTGCTCCTGAGCTATTCAAGGGCGTCGGCTGCATTGTTGAACTCCAATAAACTGTCGCTGCAGGCAACCCGGTGTAAGACTCTGGAGTCTGAATACCACGCACACTACGGTCCGGAGGAGGCAACGTGCCATGCTGGCCAGAATGCATCGGATGCGTAGGACCTAGGCCGCCCGCTGGAGGTCTTGGGAAAGCTTGCTGCTGCGCAAAGTAGAAAGAACCGAGAGGTAACGGTTGAGACGGCCATGGCGATATAGATGAGCCGTGAGAATGAGCCATCCAGGAGTTCGATGCCGTCTGCAGCAGGTCTCTGGAAGAATCAAGCCTCTGGGCATTGTTTGGGAGGAGATTCATCTGATCCATTTCGAACCTGTTTATCGTCGTGGGCCCTCCCCAACCCCAGCGACGTGGCTCTATTCCAGCTTGTTGCCGAACGGACCAGAGGAATGACGACCTGAGACGACGTGGGAGGCTCGACAACGGCCGGGCAGAAGGTACTCCCAGGAATAGTTCGGCTGTGCAGGCGGGAGAGATCTAGTGATACGGTCTAGATGTATTCGTAAACGAGGTTCTGTGTTGATTCGTTTGAGATGCTTTTAGGTGTGGTATTGTCTGCTACTCTGTAACACTTTTTCGTGTGTTATG